TCCGACAGGAAAATACATATAGGTAGCCACGCGTGATACGGTCTGCGTAGCATCGCATGCATTGCTGTGTGCTTCAGCACAACTTGTAAGCTAACAGATTAGTGCGGCATATAAGGACTTACAATATTAGATGCCAAGCCTGGGTGCTTGTGTCGAGCAATGTTTACACTCCAAGGTTGATTAAGTTTCTCCCACAAAAACATGCTCAAAGCACAAGTGTGGCCAGGGTAAGTTTAGGCACCGGGATTAATTCGCTGGCGACGACATTTTTCGCAACGAGAACCGTGCTGCTAGGTGTGTACTACGAGAGGCGACACAGGCATGCATCCGGCCGCAAAGGCCCAGAGCCTGTAGTGTAGAGCTATCCAGGACGTGGAATCATCAGTGGCCTATCGCCGAGTGTCGTGGTCCTTGTTGGACAAATTCAGGCATAACGTAATTGTTTCATGCAGATATGCCTACTGATTTTAACCCAGTCGTAGAGAGAGAGAACATCGTGTGAGCAGTTGGTTCTGTTTAACACCAGCGACAACCCCAGATCAGAGCTAAAAGCGACCGATCTTTGTCCCTGTATGCATAGCGGCCTCGCCAATTTGCGTGCTTTTTAGCGGGTTCTGGTAGATTATGGTAGCATTCCTCTACCATTGTGGCCCGTGAGCTCACCGGGAATCAACTCCGTATACGTCGGTAGCAGAGATAGCGGCGAGTAAGCTTGCACGGGCGTCTAAGGGGCGAGCGGAAAGGCTAATTGAAATCGAGGTTGGAGCGCTTCAGACGAACTAAGATAGAACCCCAAAATAAGCTTAAATAGCATTCGAGACATGACCATCCTTACTGCTGCTAAGAACGCTCATAATCATAATTTCCTTGGAACATGGAGACAACCATTTGAATCTAGGCTGCGGTGGAAGCAGCGCCCAAGTTCGCATCCCACACAAGCCAATACCGTATCCGGATATGTTGCTGTTGATAAGATCATGCACTTGGTTTTGCCTAACGCAAGTATTGAGCTAGACATTTGTTGAGTCTTGTGCATAGAGGCTGATATCGCTGGGGAGCGTGAGTTGCGTTGCACGGCAGCACAAGACAGACGACGAGCAGTGGACTTGGTACATGCTGAATGCGGCCGTGCACTAATCCATATTCGAAGCGAGAGACGCATCGGATAGTCACGCTTCTCACTGGTCACAGAGCGTAATCCACTATCGCCCGAGACGAAACTCTTTGCGGGACGGAGATAGCACGCCGCTCGGATTAGGGCTGGGTACAGCAGATACTGTGATTCTTCATAGTAGCAACAGTGGCGCCCTAGACATGTTTTTGATATGATTCATAAAATCGCCTTGATGAAGCTCAAACATGTAGATTTTAGTCGACTCCTCAAAATCAGTGATTCCTTGCAGCACCATGAATAGATCTTCAGTTAATAGCTACGGAACTACGCGAAAAAAGTAATTGAATCTTGAATGATGGTCACAATTTACACGGATAATGAGAGGTTTTATTATCTATCTTAACCTTTTATAAAGTAAGGACATTTAGGAGGTCTCTAATGAAGATCTATACTTGAGAACTGTCGGCCTCGTTGCTTTGCATCAAGTTAAGACAACATGGCCAATAATTATCCTTGACATCCACCCGACCTCTCTGCAATCGGATCAAGCGCAGGCCAGGACGTTTGCAGTTGTGAGGCTCTCGGACTAGTTACACTGAGGGAGGAATAGTTCTAGCCGGGAACCTTCTGGCACTCGCGCCCTTCGCCAGCCCGTGTACAAGTTTTACGTTTTCGCGTCCGAAGAAGCATCGTCTGCGCCCGAGACAACCATCTCAATTACACCAATTCTTCTCGTATGCATGCCATGACCCACAATTTTGAGACATGACCGTGTCAGTTCTCGTCCGATGCCTACCGAAGTTTGCCAAAGAAGCCGTTACAGGACAAAAGGCGTGTCGCCGGATCACTTTTTGCTGCATAACTTGACGAGAAACAGATGAATACTCAGACAATCGATATGTCTGTTTGCATATCCAGCCGTGTTTCACGTTCTCATCTCACTCAGCTCAAGCATGATCGAGGACTAGGCGTGGTGCTCCCGTAAACCCTCAGCGACTCAGATCTAATACAAATTTACGCATTGGCTCAAGTCACTAGACCAAGGCCTAGATTGATCGTAGGAAAGTGAAGGAAACTGAGTATGTGCATGCGAGTTAAACCTCGAATACCCTGATCTTAAGCGAATGCAGCTTTATAAATCACCGGAAATGTATCCATAATAATGAGAGATAGAAATATTTGAGAGCTAGGGGTCCTGTGCAGTTATATCATTTCCTTAAGTCAATAGCGACGCGCCGTAGTGCCACCTATCGACTTCATCGTTAAGTTTCTCGACAGCATAACTGGGTCATCATTGTTTGATTGTTTTTCTTCAAAACCTGTAAAGGCTAACAATTTGTCTTGAATCACACTTATCTTTTTACTTTCTCCCGAATATCTGTTGAGGTTCGTTGATCCGTGATATTATTTTAGTAAATGAAACTTATATCCAGGCTTTGTTGGTGGTTATTTTATCAAATGACTTGAAGATGGGGCTCTGATATGCTGAATAGTTTCTCCCATTAATTTAGCTATTAGCAAACGCATTCCATCTTGATTTCCATTGCAAATTTTTATTAAAAAGGAATTTTAGATGTATCATTTATTCTTTAGTGAATCTTGCTCATAATTCTTCAAAAGATCCATTTAAAAGCTACGTAATACACACAAAATGATGAAAAGAAAACCAACCTAAGTAAAGCTTCTTGCGTCCCATCTATAACCATTTCACCAATAACTTGACTAGGTTCTTGGCCTAGAGTAGTTGTAATCCTAGGCTCTTGTAGCATTTTAAGAGCACGGCCTAGGTTAGTTCTCTCAACTCCCCGCATATTGTGAGCCAAACCTATTCCTGGAAAGTTACTAGAACTTCGAATGCGGCCATACTTGATGAAGCTAGCAATGGGTTTTAAATCTAAGCTAATAAAAGTATTGCAACAGTTTCCGCATCGAATAATCTGAATTTCAATATTTCTCGTTATACATTTGTGGGCGCAGTAGAATAATCTACCCAGTGTTGTGGACTTTATCTAATTCTCAGGTTAATGGTATTTACTCAATATTTGCTGCCTGTATTCTTATAATTAACTTTCTTTTTAATGAGAGTTTTGACATATCCCGGTTAATAATCTGCTTGTGTGGAGCGTTTGAACCTTCTCTTAATCTGAGCTCGGACTTCGTATAGGATATTTTTGGATTTCATTAGACGAGGAAGCCTAAAGATTTCAAATCTCTACATTATTGACTGTGAAGACTGCTGTCAGTAAATCTAGGGTTTAGTTTGTTCTGGATGTCTAGGACTCAAATCAGCCATGAAGCATTTTCACTGAAAGCACAGCGTACGCATCGTCGACATAGCGTTTCAAGTTCCATAATTATCTTCATTTTTTCACGATTACAGTAATGCTGTATGCTCTTAGCGAAGCTTCTGAGCCTCGGCGAACCATGACTCCGGCATCTTCGGAAGTCGAGCTTTGTCTTTTTTAGTCCCCCCGAAAAATTTCTTTACCATAAGTTTAATGCGCTCTGTTTCAGCGTGAGTTGACTGAGTCAGTAAGATAATCTCGGCATGTTGTTACTTTATTTGAGTCATTTTCAAACTAGTCTACTTTCTCTATATCAGGTCGGTGATCCAACGTAAAGTACGTTACTATCATCTAGCGATTTTAAAACAGTTATCGGTGGACTCAGGGAAATTCTGCGTCACTGTAAAAAGTGACTGAGCTCGAGAAGTCTGTGTGTTGTATTGTGCGCTAGGAGATGTCAATATTTAAAATGGTCAAAATGATGTATGCTGGTGTTAGTGGTTGTTTGCAAAACGTGCTACATATCCTTGAACTGGAAGGGCTGTGATGCTTTGATATTACCAGCATTGCTGCCCACGCTAGAGCTAGAGGCTGAGCAGGGTATGAATAGCCACAAAAAGTTATCTCTAAGTTTACCGAATTTCGCCAAGAATATCGCCGACCCCGAACGCACGTTTGGCTCAGTCAGCATAAGCCACGGAATCACGGGGCAAAAACCTTGATTAGCCGCATGAGGAATTTTGGTTACCATGGCTTCTATTTTGGAGTTCATACCCAACCAAAAGACAATTTGGATCAACAGTCCTGCCCTTGATAAGCCGCATCCTATCCTGCGCCGTCAGCTTGAATGTCGTCATCGGTGCAAGCTGCATGTTTTGAGTCTCCTGGCGTGTTAATTAGCTAGAGCTGCCAGGCTCGGTAGCTTGACAGAGATAGTGAATTAATTAGTAAATTGGCTTGTTTGAGGTCACAAATGCAAGACAGTGCAAAGACAGATACTTCTCTGTGAACATCTTCACATTGAAACAAGATGCAGGATACTATATTATTGCTTTTTGAACGGATAGCTTCAAGTATCTAGTCATGAATCTTTACTCCGTACCCCTGTGAACCGGAATCTATACGCATGGATGACTCTGAAGAAGAGACAGCCCACAAAATGTAACACCGAAAGACCTCTTAGTAGAAGAGACGCCGAGCACCTATGCCAACTCCACATATAAAAACGCCTTCCAAATAGTCTTGCAATATCTAAGACAAATAGCAAGTGAAGTGCCTGACGCCTCCCTGTATATTTCGCCCAAAATGAAGAACATAAAAAGTTATAGGAATAAATTTATCCAACTAGGCATAAGAGGCTCTGCCGTATTTATGCGAAGTTCTGGTGGATTTAACAAGAAAATAATCTATACATGTCATGGGTAGTTTGCTGAAGTGTCGTTCTCTTGCCACCTGCAAAATTTAAAAAAACTAAATGTGCAAGGGCTAAAAATAGTGGGTATCAAAAATTCTTGCCATGAAAGCTTTGTTCTCTTCTTTGTGAATTTGCGAGTATAGACTTCGAGGCTAGTCATTACTGGCACTTGCCTGTAATCGTAGTTTCAGTGTATTATTGTCTGTTTGCTAAATTCTGCTCCTCTAAATGATTCCGGAGGTTTAGGTGTATCCCAATGGTCTTCGCTTAGTGTAGTAAGCCATCCGTTTCCAACCTCATTCCGGATAACTTCCAGTTTCTTTCGATACACATCTCCGCTAGTTTTCCAATCTATTATCTCCTTTTGGCTCTCAGGTATGATGCATTTGGTGTCAGTTGATGGAGATTCTCGGGCAGAAAGGTGAGAAGTCAGAGCTGGGCTTATTTTTTTGGCATCCTTGTTGCTACGAATATTTGAACAGTCAAGAGATGCATAAGGCGAGACTGATCGCGGAGAGGATTCGGGGCTACTGATATCGTATCCGACGCTCTTCGTTATATTGTGAGAAGCCTGAGGAGTTTCCAAAGAAAAGTGGGCCGTGGACCCGGAGCTAGTTGGATTCAGTGCGGAGAGGTCAATAATCCTTCGTTTTAATACTTTCTTGTTTCTGGAGTTGCATAGTTGAACTTCAGTGACACCTATATTTTGGGATGAGCGCTCTTTACGAAGGACTCCCGGTTTGATATCAGTTTGGAACTCTATGCTTGGTTTATTAATTTGTGTCGTTTTCGGGATATATTTAGGAGACTTTATTACTGGGACGGCTGGTTTCCCAGTCACACGCTCTAGAAGCTGTCGTCGCTCAGAGTATCCCGGCGCATAGGTGTCGATAATTATATCTTCCGTGTACCCTGGAACTTGCCGAAAAATGTTGAAAATGGTTACTCTGTAGGTAGTACTGTGAGTTCTTGTGAACGGATTACCTAAAACCCATACTTCGCGGAGATCCAATATTCCTGTGAGTCTTGCAAGTTCGGTTGGGTCGACCAATCTATTATCACGTAGGTCTAGCCTTTCTAAAGGATGAAGGTACTCAATTCCGGCAAGCGAATTTAGTCGGTTGGAACGAAGATTTAGAGCAGTAACTGCTAGGAGAGGGCTCTTGCCGAGTGAGTGCAGTGAATTAATCATACAGTTGGAGAGATTAAGAGCGCGAAGAGCTGTCAAAGTTGCCAAGCACTCCGGGATTTCTGTGAGATGGTTTGATGACAAGTCAAGTGAATGCAGGGTGTCAGTTAACGGTAGGATACTAGAGGCAGATATTGACGTTATACCGTTGTCTGCAAGGCTTAAATGCTTCAAGAACCTCCACTTGGAAACGGGTAGAATATTTGTTGAGACAAGGTTGGGGGGGCAGTTGTGAGAATTGTACCAACTGTCAGATATACTGGACTGGGAGCTTCCCGAACCAGACCTTTTGACTTTATGCGGAGTTTTGATATATTGATTTCCAGAAATATAGCCAGTCCTAGAGCTGGAAGGTCGGATGGGGGAATAACTTCTTGGACGACCGTTCAAATGATTCGTACTTCCTATTGACTGTGGGCGGATTATCGACTCGCGTCTATTTTGAGCCCCTATTTCGATAAATCCTTGTTCACTTGGTGAGCCTGGCTCGTATTTGAAATCTCCTGGCTCGACAGGAGATATCGTGGGGCTTCTTCGTGGGCTTGTTCCAGCAGTTGGGGAAATGGGTGTTCTAGCAGAGCGACGGCGCCGCTTGTCCATATCGTCTAGCACAATATTAATTATTAGGTCCTCAAGTTCCACTCCTGCTCGTTTAATAGTTAAAGATCTTAGTTGCTCTGAAATCTTATCCCAGCCGAAGAATTGTCGTATATCAATATCGCTTATTTCTAGGGCACTGATGTTTTTGAAAGCTAATAGAGGTACAGCTGTGTCGAATGGAAACTCTTCGTAACCCTTAATTAGTCGAGCTCTCCGATCTGGAGCCAATCGTAAACATGGAATTTTAGTAAACGATGCATATAAGTATTTCAGGTCAACTTCGGTAGCTAGTTTTTGTTTTTCGTTCCGTGTAGCAGCGCCTGTTGATCCAAGACCGAAATTAGTCCAGAGAGAAGTCATGCCAGACATGACGCTTCGTACACTAGAAACTGAATGTACCGATCCATGATCCGAGCCAGGGCCGCTACGGGGGCGCTGAGCTTGATTTCCAAAAGACACATAATTTGTAGCAGAGGTGTCTGAATGAAGGTTTTCCAGTCGAACATTCATAGGGCCGACGGCGATGCCGAGCTCTTCAAATCTAGATAGAAGATAAAATAGGTGATGTGGTGTTAAGGCCAGCTTTGCAGGTTTCATGCTGTGGCATGCAAAAGTTAAAGAGGGTAATGATAGGGCGGCAGCGAGGGTGCTCGAAGTTGTCGGAGATAGTGCTGAGACCGGTTGGCTTGTTGTCGTTGGTGAACGAGCCGGCGCACCACTACCTGCCGAGCTAGATCCGCCTAAAGATGCTCCATGTTTAGGAGTCTGTTGACGTTTAAGTTGTAAAGCATTAGCGAGAGCTTTTTCATGTGTGCGAACAAATTGTGCCTCGAAATCATGTCAGCGTGATGGTTTGGTCGATGGCGACTTTGTGACTCACCAGGTTCTTTATGAAGAACTGACCATCCTGGTTCCCGTTAATTTTCTGTGTATTTTCTATGTTTCCAAGACAGCGTACCTCAGTGTCCATCATGGATGCATAGGATGTTTTTATGCAGTGAATGAATAGATTGCCTTGATTCCTCGAGTCGAACTGTTTCTACTAACGATCTGGTATCTCCACGACAGCGCACCTGAGTAGGGCAGGGCAGATCACAAAATGGTGATTGGGAGCTGACTTTTGACATTAGCAAAATCCAGCAAATTATTGAAGTTAGATTTTGAAGGGACCTGGGAGTTGTAAACCACATGGATATACCGGACATTCCTAAACGAATGGATGCCGTGGAGTGTTTTGTTGAACTTGCGTTAAGCAATGATAGTTACGATTATTTCCATCGAACACAGTGTTGTCAACGAGATTAGAACTGAGGAGTGAATACTTACGTGGATCAGGACGACGAACGACGTCGTGGTAAATCAGTATTGCTGCCGCGGCAGCATCTATGACAACGTTGGACAAACTCCAGAAAAACCTTGGGAGTACCACTTCGGGGGGGATGGGAGGTATGGCAGGCGACCCTCTCTCTAGTAACAGCGGTTCGAACTGACAATTGAATGATCTGCCATCAGCCGAAGGAGGGGATCAGGGGAGAGCGTGCATGTGTTGGGTGTCCTCGCGCACGGACGAGCAGGGATATCACAGAGGCGCAGGGGTACTGTTAGCGAAAGACGGCTTGTTTAACGGGAAGCAAAGAGAATGGATAGTCTAGATGTAGATAAACACGGAGCAAGTGTCAATTTCTGAATGCAAATTTCGCCCCGTACCCAGATATCCGAAATCCGAATATCTTTGCATTTAGTAAGAGCTTACGCTTCCCTCTAGTCCGTGCTACAAGAGCCAGTTACCGCGCCTCGGCGAAGGTAATTTTGAAGCCAGTCTATTTAGCTTCTCAGACTGCTAGATGCACAAAGCTTGAGGTGATGTTTCTCTTGTTCAAAATAGTTAGGCCAAGGGTATTGAAACAAAGTCAGTGTCGAATAATAATGTTGGCAAGTTAGATGTGATTGTAGCCATAAAATCTAGGCGTGGGTCCTGCGTTGAAGCTGAGAAGCGACTCGAGTTGGAAATAGGCAGCCGTGTAGTTGAGTTTGGTGCTGACAGCTTCGCAAGGGTAAGCGAGCGCCTAGCACAGCCTCCGTGGAAATGACCAAGTCTGACTGGGGCTGCAACGAGACTTCCAGGACCCATATGGTTGAGGCCAAATCTCATCCATACCCTTGCTTAACTCTAATATTGCAGGGTTAAATTATGTCCGCGGCCCCATGAGAGGACGGACTTTTGTATCCGTTCCATCAGGACGCATTCCCTCCCCCATACAACCCTGTATGGACGAGAGACGATTTTGAAGGATCCCATGATCTCTTCACTTCACACCGCCCTACTCCCCAAAATTGGCCGTTGCAATGGCTCAGGTCGACGTGCAACAACAAAGAAATACCACAGCAACATCCGCATCCTCCTGCTCGTTCAATCTCTCGCTCTCAAGAATTCCAACCAACCAATCTTAGGGCTCAACACGCATAGCTGTGCTCAAAATGGATGGCTCGCTAAATATAACTAAAATGGCCTGTGGCGCTCATTATATCCAGAATTGTCTGAGCCGCGAAATCTAGACGGTTTACGTTAATCGTGAGCACCCCAACGGTCCATAGCAGTTCAAATGCGGCATGTTGAATCACAGCTTGCTCACTTGTCCACTTTTGTCATCGGAGATTAATCAAGTTGGATCCATAATATATGCATGGGTCTATCATCAACTTCATAGTTTGTGGTAACCTAACAGCCTTGAAGTGTTCAGCTGCACCTCAACCACCACCATTAGGATGTTGTGGGAATTTAGTCATTTCTGAAACAAAGGAAAAAGAATGGTTCAAAATCTGAGGTCTATTTCATCGCATGTATGATTTAGCTGACTCGTTCATGGACAAGCCGTTACCATCATGTATAATTTTGAAGCCATCTAAGAAAAGGCTTTTGTCGTAAGCGCCTAGATTTGTTGCTTGTAACGGATTTTAGGACCTGATTTAGAAGGCAATAAGATATAATGGAGAATTAGCCAGCTGAGGATCGTGCGAGTACTAAAAATTTACCTCTCTTCTGGTTGATATAGATGACAGGGTTTCTCGACAGATCCCATCCGCAGGTTCATAACTCTAATTATATTCCAACAGAGGACTGGCTATGTTACGGGATAGAGGTAGGTGATAGGTAGCAGCAAGGAATCATTACAGGGACCCCGATTCGCCTCTACTGCACTTAAACTTGCGTAACTGGCACGCATTAAGCTACACTATAACTGACAAGGTTGAAGGATATACTCCCCCTGTACAAGCAGCGGCAACGGATATCTGACAGATATCAAATTGTCAACGCCACTAAACATGCGAGCGAGGCAGAAACATGAGCACCTCTCTTGAGTAGGCATTGAATCCACAAAGATGCGCGCAAATCTGTTGTTAACTATCGCAGTATTTGCCTTGCCATAATCTAATCCATTGAAGTCTAGTTTCAGCATCAAAAGTTTTGTTAGGTGAACCTAAGATGGCCGAGAAATTACAAGAGAATTCCTTGTGCTAATCGGGAAACTAATGATATTTAATAGTGGATAGTGATCAGATGGATCTGGAATTTCTCTAGGTCCTTCACCAACGACTTTCCGCGGAGGACGAAGACCGACTATCTGTCTGCAGTGATAGCTACGAATCTAGGAGTGGAATATTCCCCTGGGCTAGGTTCTACGAAATTCCGCAATACTGTAGAATTTGGCCCATGAGGAAATGCCCCTAAACTTCCTACTATCAGGTAAATCTTTCCAACCCAAGAAGATTGACTACGACGAAAGCCTTGTTGCGTCTGCAAATACGATTTCGTACGTCTTTATCCCCGCGCAGGAAACTCGATGTTTTAGACGTTTTCCTGTGTGTCTATCATCTACTCTCGGTGAAGATCGATTATTCACAGTAATGATAAATAACACGAATAGTTGAGAAATGTGGCGAATAAAATTTTCCCAACTGAAAATTTTTGGGATTTTGTTTAATTTGACACTTTTGGAATAGAGTCATCCTTTTAAAGCGTTCGAAGAGGCCGACTAGCCAGGTGCAGTAGACCTCTGTATACCTAGAAGCGTCTCTCAACATTCCTAGCCTCCTCCTACTTTTCCCCTGATTTATGCCACAAGACTTACCGAAGGTCAAAAAAGATATCAAAAAATTCTTGGTCGAGAGTGACTGCCGTAAAAGAGCCTAGCCTAGCATCCAAAAGTCGTTACGGATATGAGATGCCAAGTAGCTTGTATACCTTAGACTTTCATCCAGCTAGCAGATTCGGAATCCACTTTTTACTAGCTATTTGGTGCGGGGTTTTCTTTTAAATCAGATTTTAATTGGGTATGCAGCTATCTAACTATGATACAATATCAGAGAAAAAGTACATCATAGGATAATTAATTTAAAAGAAGAGCATCCATGTCCTGGATTTCATTTGCAAACACCACTGGGAAGTTATGACTACTTTTTCTTCACCCGAAGTCAGCCCTCATCCATGAATAACCATCCAGGGAAAAGTCTCAAAAACCTTGAGTTATCCAGATATGCCTCCATCATCAATTTAGTTTTCTCTGTGCGAAATACGGTTTGAAGTGTTTCCTTCCCAAGTGGAGTAGGCGCCAAGGCTACTCAAGCCATACCAGAGAACGCCACAGGAGGCGGACCACAACAATTTCCATGGTTAGCTTGTGTTTATAGTGCCAGCTGCACTCTCGCAATCGAAGGTCTGTCCCTCACAAGACTCTTCAATTTATGAAACTCCTTGCCAAAGTTATAAATCTCACTCCTGCGGAGATAGTTTCCATCCTTTGCATCACCTTGAAAACTTTTTTCAGTTCTCTTACGTCCATTCCAAAGAAATACCTCCTAGATTTATGCGCCACGTTTTTTGTCCAGCTGCAGGTATTCGTGTTATTATGAGCGTATATTAAGAGACCAGCTGAGATAAGAGAATGGTTGATGAGAGACTTTCTTATTGAAATTAGGATGTACTTCGTCATACTTGCAGATTTGATGATGCCTAGGTAAGAATCCACCTTGTTTGGAGTGCGATATTGATTTGTTTAGGAGTAGTAATGTTAACATTTATATCTTGATGTCAACCCGTACAAACATACTGTACAATAGTAACTTATATTGATACTCAGGATTGCGATGGATAGCAGAGATTGATGGTGTTCATGGCAGTGCGGGGTTTGGTAATTGGTGACAGGGATATGACACGTGTATAAGTATATCGCGCACTTGACTCTTAAAGATGACGATGCTTCCGACAACATTCACAATGCCCATACCTACTCTGGGCTAATCACCCCTTACTATATCGGTCCTATCTTCTAGTTATTGCCCTTTTCGCCCTTTTATCTTAAATGACAGGTCGTGATATTCTTCGGCTTGCTGGCCATCATCAAGCTCAGAGTCAAGGCCAGATTAAATCTTTAACAAGTAAATCATTTCCTCGTGGGCTAACTTGTTTGGTATCGCGAAATTTGACTGGACTTAGTTCTGATAGAATATTTTGCTCCCAGGTTCGTAGTGGAGATCGCGTGCAAGTGTTCGGACTTACCCTCCCCAAATGATGTGTATTAGACAAATACCAATAGTGTGAACGGTTTTAACCTTACTAACCATCTAACTAAGTAGCATTTCCTGACACTTCCCCGTGCTGTGATATCATAGAGCCTCGTTAACTCCCACATCAATTAAAAGTGTGACCCCTATATCTCTTATTGAAGAATTCAGTAGTCCTGCAGGGAAATCTTACGACTGACCTAGGGATGATACGGATCTCTAAGAAGAAGTTGTATTTGGACCAACCGGCAAAGACGAATTCTTCATCTTCCAGTGGTGCCAGTGTAGTCGCTCAGTATGCTCTGCACATCTGGGATAGCCAAGAAGAATCGTATCCGAATCGAACTCGAAAGCAAACACATGAATATTTCCATTTGGCGACTTCTTAATCATACAGTACTTACCATTATT